TCCCATTTCCTTATAACTAGCATCAGCCTCCATAGTGAATTCCCTCTGAAAATCAGGAAGGGCTAGAACATGAGAATGGCACAAGGCTTGCTTCAAATGTTCAAAAGCCTTGTTGATGGGTTTAGCCTCTGGAATTAGGGGAATTGTGTGGTCAAGGGCTCTTTTGGGGGATAAGGTTGAGGGTTCTTAGAACAAGTCCTGGAATTCTTGTAACAGTTGGGTTAATTCAGGAGGAACATTGTGGGTTGTAGAGGTAGTGATGTGGTATATTGAGGTTCCTTCATGATAAGTGGATGGTATGGTAATGCATTGGACCAGAAATTCTTAAACCTCTTCCTTGTGTCATTTCTTAATTTGCCTTTTAGTGGCTGTTTTTAATACACCTCTCTTGGTAAGCCCCTTAAAAACACCTTCTTGCCCGCTTTGTAAAAAGAAATCCCAAGTGGTCTTTTCCGCAATTGGATTGGGGCAAACTTGTTCACCCAATCCATTGCAAGAACCATGTCACAACCACCTAACTTGAGCAGTTTAAAGTCCATGACAAAATCCTGCTGCTATATTTGCCAGCTAAAACCTGAGCAGATTAAGTCACATATGATTTTCTCCCCATTAGCAACTGCCACTACTAGGGGTTTGGCCTTCCCAGGTTCCTTTCTTAGCTGGCTTAATAGCTTGAGGTCCAAAAAACTGTGGGTGCTACCACTGCCCACCAAGATGACCATAGGCTGTTTTTATACCAGCCCTAAGAGTTTGATAATATTCAAGTTTTCCCCTCTTACCACAGCACACAAGGAAAGCTCATCCCCTTCCAAATCCTGTTTTTCTTCATCTGGACCAATTAATTCAGGTGCTTCAATGTCCCCCTTATCCTCTATAATATTAAAAGTAGGGCCCTGGCCTACACATGTGCCCTGGCTGCCAGGGATCAAAACAATTGAAACATCTCTTTTGTTCCATCAACTGGTTCTTAAACTGTGCAATTTCTAGGGCTTTAGATCCAGTGGTTTGGGTTGAGGATGATGGTTTTGGGTTATGGCTGAGTGGTAAAGGATTGTTTGAGTTAGAGCTGGGTTCCTTGTGGTTTGTGGTGATCTGGGATTCCAGGATGATGTTTTAGGCCCCTCATTTGTTTTCAGACCCTTCTCATATTGTCTAGCAAATCAGATGGCATCCTCTAAGCCTCTTAGTCTAGCAGTTCTAACAAAACACCTTAGGTTAGGTTTAAGTTTAGCAATGTAGTTTTTCATAAAATAATTCTCAATTAGGTAGGGATGAGGCTGCAACATTAGACTCTTAAACCCTTCATACTCATCAATGAAGTCATCTACCCCACCCCACTACTTGCAGTATGCATAATCCTCCATAAGGGATACTCCATTGTCACCAAATGTTCTGCACACAGCATCAGCTAAGAGAGGCCAGTGGAACCCTTCTCTCAAGCTATGCACATGACTCTTAAACCATAGCCCCACCTTCCTAGTCAGATGCACATACAATAGATTAAGGATCTCATGTCTAGGAATATGAGAAAGCAAAAAACAAAATAATAATAATAATAATAATAATAATAATAATAATAATAATAATAATAATTCACACCTAAGGATCCACTGCCTAGGGTGATTGTAGTCAAAAGTAGGAAGCTCACTTTTGTTTCTTAGGAAGTCTTGATTTAGGCCAGCTTGTCATTGCCTTCCCCTATCCATTCCTCCCCTCCTAGGAGCCCATTCCAGATTAGCTCTCTCCATCTGACTAATTACCAGAGGTGTTTCATTCCTCTCTTGGATCTAGCTCTTATGCCTCAACCTCCTGAACTGGTGTTTTTTCTGGTCTGCCCCCAGGTGCCAAGCTAGGTTCTCCTGGACACTGCCCTTGGACTAAGAATTGTCCCGAAGAGTTCTGTTATAGGCCAGGATATCTAGGATCGTGTCACAGGCTTAGAAACTTAGGAATAAAAATGAAGCTTTTTTGGAGTGCTTCTTCTCCCCAATCTTCCATTTAATAGGAAGCCGAAATACAAATTTCCTAGATGTTCCTTCTTCAAATACCTAGGCATCTATTTATAGAGATAAAAACTACCCACTACCTTAAAGTGCTCAAACTACCTAGGAAGTGGTCATCCCACTACTAAAATAATAATAATAATAATAATAATAATAATAATAATAACAACAACAACTATAGCAACACTTGTATCATTTCCCCGCCCATCAAAAATCACCTTGTCCTCAAGGTGCTACTCTTTTTTTTTCTTGTCTCCAAGGCGACGCTGGCTAGAAACGACGTAGCAGCTGGAGTTCGCATGGCGGAGACTGATGCGGACTGCCCCCTGGCCTTGACGGTGCTGGAGTTTCCTCGGAGTTCGTCGGTGGTGCTGTGTGGCTGCTGGAGGTGAAAACTGGTTCATTTTCGGACAGGAATTATTGAAATATTGCATGTAATTCAGCCTTGTCAGCCAGCACTGCGTGAAGCGATTAGACCACCCCGCGAATCACAGTAACAGAGTTGGCCACGTTGTGTCGCCCATGACGACTGGTTTTGATACCAAATGTTATAGGCTAGTATATCTAGGATCGCGTCACAGGCTTAGAAACTTAGGAATAAAAATGAAGCTTTTCTAGAGTGCTTTTCTCCCCAAATGAAGCGTATTTTTGGAGTGCTTCTTCTCCCCAAAATTTCATTTAATAGGAAGCCAAAATACAAATTTTCCAGATGTTCCTTCTTCAAATACCTAGGCATCTATTTATAGAGATAAAAACTACCCACTACCTTAAAGTGCTCTAACTCTCTAGGAAGTGGTCATCCCACTACTACTACTACACTAACTAGGAAGTGGTCATCCAACAACAACAACAACAATAATAATAATAATAATAATAATAATAATAATAATAATAATAATAATAATAATAATAATAATAACTGCAGCAACACTTGTATCAAGTTCCCTATGATTGGAGGTGCAGGTCTGTTGAGCCTGAGAAGCTGCAGTAGCTCCTCCCTCAAGATCCCCAACTGGGAAGACAGATCCCCAACTTGGGAAGACAATCCCCCAACCTAAGTGGTAAGCTCGTTGACAATGTCTTGTGTGGACTAAAACCAAGTGTCTATCTTGTTGTTGAGCCCGATTACAGTGGCTTCCAGCTTCTTAATGTGATCCTCCATAGTAGGCTCTGATACTACTTGCAATGAACTCACAAGGAAGATAGAGAAATAAGGGTTGAAGATAGAAGAAATTAGGGTTAGGAATGAGAGAAAAAGAAGTTATTGAATTTATTACTTAGCATAAAATCTCCATACAATCCAGCCAAGATTAAATAGGGATCTAAAACAAGTAAAAACAGCTAGCCAACTGCTTCCTCTTTTACAGGCTAAATAACATAAAGAAACTTTCAGCTCAACGGTTCTAACTATTCTCTTCCTGCGACGTCATTTTGCCTGTGTTCATTTCCCTGCCTACCTCCTTTCCAGTTCTTCTCTCTTTTATTGTCTTCCTCCTTTTCCTCCCACTTCCCACTCCATTAATGGATCCTTCCATAGCTATTACACAACTTCAGCTGAGGATCTAGATCAACAATCAGCTACCAATTTTGGAGAATTTGACCAACCAGAGCAACAATTAGGCATACCGATAGTCAAAATTGCAGAAGCGGAATGGAAGAAATTGGCAGAGGTTGAGGAAAAACTGACTTTAATCGGGAAATTTACAAGTGAGAGGCCAGCAATCGAAGCAATTAGGGCTCAATTCTAGAAATTGTTCCCTCTTTCAGGTACGGCTCATGTTTGATTACTGAATGCGAAGAATGTTTTGATTAACTTATAGAATGAGGAGGATTGCAATAGAGTATTAGCGAGAAACCCAGCCAGAATTGGAGATAAATTGGTCTAATTTAAGCACTGGTCGCTGGAGTGTAAGGCGATGAAGGATAGGTCGCCGGTGGTGGTGTGGATTCTCCTTCATAAATTGCCTTATCACTTGTTTGATGCGAGGATGAGTGGCCGGATATGTGCTCCGATTAGAAAACTTCTAGCGTTAGATGCAACTACGGACACAGAAATTGTAGCCGATTCGGTCACAGAACTGTGGACTGCAAAAAGAAAAAAAAAAAAAACTGAATGATAATGAGAGGAGGAATGGTTTGGTAGTGACAGAGGTGGCGGAGGGCGGCGAAGACAAATATATAATATATATATATATATATATATATATATATATATATATATATATATATATATATATATATATTTTAATAATCATTTTATTTAAAATTATTTTAAAATTAGATGACTTGTTAGAAACTGAAAAAACTGATAAATTAGACGAATTGCATAAAATGAGTTAGTTTAAGGATTCAATTGTAATTTTTTTAGGTTCAGTGGTCTAATTGCATTATCATGTGCAATTCGATGGCCTATTTGACCCTTATTTCAATTTTCTTTCCACGGCATCAGTGCTATACTCAGTGTTGCAAGTGTTGCAAAAATCGCGCCTAGGCGCCACCCGACCGCAGACGATTTTGCCGGAACCTGCCTCCTCCGCGGCCGGGAGGCTAGGCGGCCGCCTAGACTGCCTAGCCGGTTGAAACGTAGAATAATTTTTAATTTTTATTTATTTATTTTTGGGGTTGAAAAGTGTAGAAACTTTGGCAAGGCATAACTTTTGACTTAGTTGTTCGTTTTGGACATTTTTTTTTGCCAAATGCGGTTTGGCCCTCTAATTTCTCCAAAAAATGCTATTTTAATTTTTTTTTTTTTTTTTTTATGTATTTAGATGGTTTTAACAATATTAAAAACGATTTTACAACCACTTACGTAAATAATTTGTAAGAAAAAACTAGAAGAACCTTATGTTTTACTAGTGAATTTTAAAATTTTTAGGTTTAAATTTTATTATTTTTTATTTAAACCTAGGCACCCTAGTGTTTTGCAACCGTGGCTATACTACCATAGATTACAGAGGGTGGGAGTGGGGATTGAGTGTAATAATATAGAAGGGAGCAGAGCACAAAGATAAAGAATAATAGGTGACCAAAGCTGTTTATGTTGATACAACCTTCCAACCCACAACCCATCTAGTGCCAAACTGCTAGTATAACAGAAATGCCCAAGAGAAGAAGCAGTGTACCATCTCCTCCTGGAAGGATTGATAGCCTGGTATAAATAAAAGATAAGAGAAATGTAGATTAGACATTTGTTCTGAATCATCCAATGTGTAATAAGACAATAAGAAAAGAAGGTTCTGTTCCAGCAACAAATGCATTCAGATTTCTATAATTTGAATTAATACATACCTTAGTTTTCTCCTGGACTGAAAGACGAAAGTCATTATGGGGGGAAGGATGCCAAATAGAAAGCAGTTTGCATAAATTCCGGCAAAATTTAGAGCCCTAGAGAACATTGAGGGAAAGAAAGATGCGATAAGGACTGGCAACGCGAGTACAATTGGCATCACTATGCTTTGCAGCGAGTCCGAAGCAGTCCCCACTTTCCCAGATTCACCCGGAGGGGCCCTTATTGGATTGCCAGTAGAATTAAAGATCAACTCCATGGTGTCAATGAGTTGTTTGGGGAAACTTACAGCATAGCCTATCAGGCTAGTTGCAAGGGCTGAGAGAACGAAACCTTGAACTGCAGGCAAAGCGGAGGGGTTAACGGAGAGCAAGAGCGAGATTGGATCCATGATTGAGGAAGAAGCACCGGTTTTAGCAAGCCCTAGAACAATCAAATTCCATGACAGAACCATAATTAATGGAATAGCACCCCCAACTAGTATAGCTTTTCGAGCCTCATTGACTGTATTCCCAGCAATCTTGCAAATAAAAGGAGTAATGACATGAAACCCCATTGTAAGTACAGCAATAGGAATCGCAGGCAAAACGGTGGAAGGTGCCCACGAGGCATATGCAAAGGAACCAAATATGTTGGTCCCCCCAACAAGCACGCCAACTGTGACTAGTGCACTGATCGAGAATAACATAACGATGCAGAGAAACCTGTTAGCCACATCTATAACCTTGAAAGGCAATAAACTTAGAATGCCACCAACAACGGATGGAAATAATGCATTGGCCACGATTGGATTTAACTTGGGAAACCACCGAGAAATGAGTGAACCAATGCCAGAGACACAGCAGACTAACAAAGCAAAACTAAGTGAAGCATAGATTAAAGCAACAAAAGTGCCAAAACCACTTCCCAGTGCCTTGTTTGCCAGGTCAGTGAAGCTGACTTCCGCTGCTCCATTTTCCTCCATTGCTGCAAAGCTAAGCTCCGCAACAAGAATGATCGACGAAACAACATAAATCCATGAAAAGAGTATGGCAACAGTTGCAGGTAGCTGACCTGCTTTTACAGTGGCTGCCGGTAATCCCAGCATACCAGGCCCTACAGCAGTTCCAACAATTAAAGCAACAGCACCCAAGAAGCTTTTCTCCTTAGGTGCTTCATGAGCTTGTTGATGATTAACATGACCATCCAAATCACTATCACTCTCAAGGCTAGTTTTTGCCCTGATGGAAATACCCAAACTTTTCTGCCTTTTAGATTTGACACATAAAGGAAAATAAGGATCAGCACCCTCACTGAATTTTTCCTTTGTAGATTTAATGAGCACTCTGTTTTTTCCACGACAAAACCTAGAATATGTCAACAAGCAAGGCTTGAGCTGTATTGAGAAAAGCATGTTGAGATTCTTCAAGTCTTTTACTCCTTTCACATTCGACCTGTTGTTTCACCAATCATGCCTCCTGTATCTGAAAGGAAGAGAGCAGTGTTTACCTACTTGTATTGTGTTCTTGTATCTCCTTAATATAAACCAATTCAGAACTGTTTAACACTAACTGACACTGTAAGTTTGAAAGGTGAATAAATACAACCACAGCTGCATTTCAGAGCATTTTCTTTATAATGGTTGGTGAATGTACTTCTGGGGGGTAACATAACACTATGCACATTAAAACAGACTATCAAAATGGCAAATAAAGAGAAAATTAAAAAAGAAATAGGAAAGAACATTTGAATGATTGTATTAGGCCCTGCCACTATATGATTCTGAAAAGCAAATTCCGGGATCTGACATTACACTAAAAACTAAAAAGCCAAAATGTACAAATTCCAGATAGAGAATAACAAAAGCATAAACAAAGTATACCCACCAAAGATCTTGTAATATTACGACAAGTTCAACAAGCATTTTGAATGTGCTAAAAAAAAATTAACAAAAATATGGCACTGACAAATTAAAGAACTTATTTTTCCTTGTCAAGCTCAGAGTGGTAAAATTAAATATAATAATTTGGGACATTACCTTTCTCATGAATCAAGGAAGAAACATGAGTGGGTCTATCTAGATGTGAAGCAGAAATTCATGGTACCGAGCAGGAAATAGAAGAGTGATGAAGCTGGCGTAAGGACAAGTGGAGAAGCAGCAGAGTGAGAAAGAGAAGGCCGTCTGGCAGCCACTCTCCTGCGCGCTGCTGAAGAAGCGAAGCGGTGAGGGATTCTCAGGCGGCTAAAGCGCAATCTTGGATTCTACAGACCCCACCCCTAGTCCCTACTTACAAGTTACAAATGGCTAAAATGTGAAGGGACCTACCCCACTCAGGCACTCACTCCTACATCCGCCTGTCCATCTTTTGTTTGTTAAGTAAAATTATATTGTTTGATTGGAATGAGAAAATTAAGGGAATTATGGGAAAAAGAGGAGAAGAATAATGGATAAATATGGTTTGGGAGAATATATAATTATTGATAATTGCGATTTTTTGTTTGGTTTATATGAAAATTGTAACTAATAAATAGTATAGAGACACAAATGTTTATCTTATCTTATTATCTTATTTTATCTTATCTTACTTCTTTTTTATATAATAGCAAAAATCTTTTTGTCACATCATTTTCCCGCTCAGGCAAAACTATGTCGTTTTATTGTATTAAAAGATAAAAGATAGGATAATAACTGTGCACACCGTTTGTTACGTCTGAATGCAGACTTTTCATGTTTATATGGAATATATTTTAACATTCATTTGAATTTATTATTAGTGATCGGAATCCACACCGCCGCAGCATTTAATTACCCGCGTTCTTTCTCAAAAAAGCATTAATTACAAGAAATTGGTACATTATTTTAAAAAATCAGCTTTCAAATAAAAACGCTTTGAGTAACATTGAGCGGAGAATACCAACAGTCTCCAATAAAATTAATTACACCTACCATACACAAGTTTCTATAAACCTAAACCACTATAAATAAGTCCTCAACAGTTATGTTCCTATCAATAGAGAGGGGAGGAAAATGGTAGAGCTGAAGAGGTAGTTAACAACAACAACAACAAGGGGTAGCTCCGCCCCTGACAACAACAACAATAATAATAGTAAAAATAATAATAATATTGTTGGTCTATCTCATTTTATATGTTGATTCGATTAATGAGTGTAACTGATGCTATTTATAATTCAATTTTGTATAATATTAAGTTTAGTATTATAATATAAAATTTATATGCTAACTATTATACAGTGTGACAGCATCATTGTTATCATTTCACAAGTCTGGTCACTGAAACGAACCCGATGGTACTACATTATAAATAATCATTAGTGCTTCAAAAACAAAATGTATACATTTAAAAACTACATGAAAAATATTATTAAGTAGAAAACAATTAAAATAGAAAATACTAAATAAAATAAACAACAAAGAAAGATGGTTTAACTAGTCTTCTAACTCTATAATAAAGCAAGAAGTTTTGCCAATCATTGTTTCCCGCCCAATTGAAACTACGCCGTTTTGCTTTAGACCTGTTTAGCGATCGAATTGCTTATTCATTGTGCGCGTGTAAGTTGATTCCGCATTGGTAATATGCCTAGCCGTTCTTATTATTATACAATCTTTGGTTCCCAAGGAGTTCAATTAATGTAGAACTCTTGGTATTGTAAACAAGTTGATTAATATTAATATCAAAGCATAATGAACTGATCCGGCCTACAAGAAAGAATCTTATATATTACATAGATTACATAGAATATGCAGAGTTGCAATTTTCAAATTCACATTAATTGAGATGTGCGATTTCCAAAACATTGTCTCCTGGTATCTTCGTTTTTTTGAATTTTCAATATGTATAAATACCCGGCTTCTTCATGCCAAAACACTTCGCAAACTCAGATCACTTTACTACCTTTTCGAAAGCATTTTTGGGTGTTTCAACATGCCTTCCATGTTCATTGCTGTAAAAAACATAAAGCCGGAACACCAGCTCCGGGCAATCAGAGTGAGAGCAATGCGTGTCTATGAAGTTCCTGAGAAAAGGGGAGAGGGGCAGGCCAGTAAGAGCATGGAAGTATTGTTCCATGATGAAGAGGTACTTTTATCTATTTGCCAATCTGATTTTATCTACTACTTTCATGCCATGTTATCTAATTTTTTTTGTTGTCTATAATTTTTTTTCTATTGTATTCGCAGGGAGACTACATTCATGCGAGTATTATTAAAAAAGACATTGGAAAGTATAGAGATACAATAAAGGAAGGAAAAGTCTTTGAAATCAAGAACTTCATGGCTTCTACAAACTACTATGTCTACAAGATTACAGAGCATGGTTTCATGCTTAAATTCAACTACAGAACACAAGTGAAGGAAATACATTCTAATGGCTTTCCTTGGAAAATGTTTAGGCTAAAGAGTTTTTTGGCTTTGAAAGATCCTGATGATGTGAATGACAAGGAACTGATTGGTACTCACTTTACCTTTCCTAACTGCTAATATCTTTTTTATTATACTTTCAGTACTTCTTTCTAATATTTTGTTCATTTTGCAGATGTTATTGGAAGGGTAATTGAGATTTACAATCATGTGGACAAGATTATAGGGGGAAAGGCCACCAAACTAATCGACTTTCAAATTGAAGACAATGCGTAAGTTTTTGAAAATGAACTTTGATTACATTAGAAAATGATGTAGTGGTTTTTTTTTTTAATACTTTTCTGTTTTTTTCCGTTTCTAACCCAGTGAAAACACCATGATGTGTACACTCTGGAATGAGCATGTAACTTCCCTTATGCCTTTTTACAATAGTGATTCGAAAGAACCACTGATTGTTGTCATTCAATGCTGTAGGGCTAAAGTTGTGGGTGGTGAGTTTCTCTACTGTTTTCTGTTCTAATCTATTGATCAATCCACCTTTTTGCTTTTTATTATGGATTGTTTAAACACATGATCCTCTATTTTCTAAAAACATAGTATCTATAAATAAGTGCATCTATTTGTATAAATTTTTTTTAGGTGAAGTGAGAATAACCAGTTCGTATGATGCTACGAAGCTTTGGTTCAATGAGGATTTTGAAGAATTTCAAGAGTTTAAGTCAAAGTAAGTTAATCTTTTATATTTCTCATATTTTTTTTATTTATCTTTATTAATGTATGCTCTACTCTGTACTTATGATTGTAGACAAGCTATATATTTTTTTTAACATCTGTGTACTGGATTCAAAAAAAAAAAAAAAATACATTGTACTCTATATATATGAAGTTAATCTTTTATATTTCTCCTATTTTTTTTTTATTTATCTTTATTAATGTATGCTCTACTCTGTACTTATGATTGTAGACAAGCTATATATATTTTTTTAACATCTCTGTACTGGATTCAAAACAAAAAATACATTGTACTCTGTATATATATTGAAGTACCATGCTGTACAGTGTATGCATTTCTTTAACTTTAGTAAACTACCACTCAAAAAATAATATAGCTATTTTAAATGTTGTCTACTGTATTGTTGTTAGGTTGTTTAAACACATATGTAAAAAAGTTTCTAATATTTTTGAAGGTTGAAAGCTGAGGGTACTCCAATGAGAAGTCTTAGTACTGGCACACTACATTCAAACTCTACAAGCATTAGTGAGTTTAATAATGCTTCTGTTATTGTAACTAACTGCCATGATATTAAGAAGGTTAAAGAGGTAATCAACACACTAAGCAAACAATTCTTTCTTTTATTTGATGTAACTGATTTTGTTAAGTTCTATATATACTTATAAAATTATTTGTATACTATAGGATGGGGAATACTATGTGGCTGCTGAGATTCTTGGGTTAGATTTTGAGGATGGTTGGTACTACTTATCATGCCTGAAACTTGGATGTAATAAGAAACTAAAAGATCAGGAAGGAACACTTTTTTGTACTAAGTGTAAAAAGACTTGTATGATGGGTACAGTTAGATATAAAGTAGTTGTTATTGCTCTTGACAAATCTGGAGATGCTCCAATGTTGCTTTGCGATAGAGAAGTGGCAGAGCTTGTGGGTATTCCTGCCTCTAATTTGTATGCAAAATACAAGGAGGTAAATTCTTCTAATTGGCTCTCACCATTTTTTTCCTATACTGTATTTTCTAAGTTTTTAATTATGTTATTTATCACCTACCTAAACAGCTTGATGTTGAAGTGCCACCTGAGTTGGATGCTATAGTTGGAATGAAGATGCTGTTTAAGATCAACTTCAAGCTGGCTCAAAAGATGGGTCCCAATTACCCATTCAATGTTGTGAGGGTTGTCAGGGATGAGCAATTGCTTAAAACCTATAGTGACAAGTTTGTGGAGCATCAAGAGCAAGACTTAATCTCTAGGATGATTGAGGAGGAAACTAACACCGATGCAATTTCTGAAGTAAGAATTTGAAACCCTAAGCTCTATGATTTTTTTAAATGATGGTTACTAATAGGGTTTACTGCTTTTCTTAATAACAGGAAGACTCGATTGGAGTTGAAGTGAATAGTCCTGCCACTGTCCAGCCCTCGCAAAAGGAAGGAGAAGACAATGCTGAAAACACTGGGGCTATTAAAAGGTCACTTTTGGATGAGTTTTCATCATCCAAAAGTAGGAAGAAGTTGACTGACTCAGAAATCAAAAAGGAAAAAATGTAATTGAGATTCATGGTTGGAAGTGATTGTTGTTAGCCTGCTACTATCCAAACATATTTACTGTTTTTTTCCTAATCCTGTGGTGTGACACTTATTAAATTTTAGTTTTTTGGAGTTTTTATAAGTTTGAACTACTGTTTTGAGTGATTGCCTAACTGTTTATTACAATTAATTGGTGTATCTACTGCTATTAGAACCTGTTTTGCAGTTTTTCTAATCTTCCTTTCAGGTTATTCAGAGTAAGGATGATAGGTGGCCAAGGTTAGCAAGGATGCTAGGTGGCCAAGGTTTTAAAATGCAGACAGAATGGAAATAGTTTGGAAAGAAACTGACACTTTGTAGTTGTAGTTTTGTATAGGTTCAATTACATGTTTAACTACTACTATAAAAGACTATATATGTAAGTTACTAAGAATATTTAATCATGACAGTTATTTGCAAATAATATTCCAATTCTGAACTGTTATATCTAAATACCTTGTGCCTAAAAAATAGAGTTAGTTTCACTTACCTATTTGCAAAATCTTCTTTTACTCTGTTTGCAACTCTCCAAAGCACTTGATGTCCAAGCTGGTATCCATCAAAATTTGCTAGCACATTTAAAAAGAAATTAGATAACAACACCTAAATTCAATATTTGTAAAGTAATTAACATTACTGTGTTAAC